ATATTGGAGGTTCTTCTTTTTTTTTTACATCGTTATCTGCTCCATTGCATTTTCCACTGAAAATCCGTTTAACATATCTTTTCTGCACAGAATTCAATCTACTCACCCAACCCCTAGTTCAACCCAAGAGACAGGAGATCAAGTAAAATAAGTAGAAAAAGAATAATCCAAAATTTAGACGGACGTGCCAACTTTCATGCACACCCATGTGAGATTCTTTAATTTACACTGCTTTTTAACAAGTTAATCTAGTTTAATGCAATATTATCTTTCGCACCAAAAAAAAAACAAGTTAATAAAGGGAAATGGAATACCTGTAAGGTCATTGATTTAGAACTCTTACATTGCAATTCCATTGTTAAAATTGAAAATATGAATTGTTATTCTTTCTTTTCCAAATAATTAGACATTAATTTTAAAAAAATAAATACTTCAAGGAATATGCAGATTGGCAATTTAAGGTATCTTCACTTATATTCCTCCAAACAAGTTACTATAACCTACTCCCTCTGTTCACTTTTGTTTGTCCAAAATGGACTCGGTACACCCCTTAAGAAATTATAAGTAAAGTACATATTTTTACCATAATACTCATAATAATAATAATATTTTAAGAAGTCTTGGAAAATAAATTGGAGAATGAGTAGCTAATGATAAGGGTAAAACAGGAAAAAGAATTTAATTTTTTCTTAATTTGCTAAAATTAATAAGTAAGAGTGAAAATATATTTTTAATATAATAAAAAAGTAAAAGTAGAAGGAGCAGTAAATTTTGATAGAATTGGAGGTAACTTTTCGATACTTGCAGCTTAGCTAGAAGTACAACTTTTGAACTTCTCAGCTCCCAACAAAAAAAAAATGGAAAGAAGGAAAATTCAAATATTGAAAAATTAAAGTGATCTTAATACATAGAATACATGAAATTAGGGGATTAATTATTTAAGTATTTTCTCTTGGGGAGAGAGAAAGAGAGGAATCATTGTATAGCTTAAGATGCTGTTAATATTGTATGTGTGATCCTAGGCATCGCTGATCCATAGGAATCTCATCTTATATTCGTAACTAAGTACTACTGCCAAGTTTTATTCCACCAATTTCCTTGTGGTTACATATATAATAATTTTAAGTGTAATTACTTGAAATAAATTGCCTGCCACACCTCAGTAATCCACATGGTGCTAGGTGGTGATTTTCTACCATGTTTCTCATTATGGTGTCAAAATTTTAATTAGATTATGTCAAATTAAAAACAATAAAAGTAAAAGTTGCTGCAGGAGTTGTTGCAGGAGCAGTGGTATAGCAATTCGTTTTCATTGTTTAAGATTATTTGCAGCTGGGAATCAACTAATCAAATTAAACAACTGTTTTCCCTTTTTATCTTCTAATGTAATTTTAATCAGTAATCACATGCCTCTCTTGTGCCTCATCCTGCATTTTTATTATTTTTATTTTATTTTATTTTATCCAACTAAGTTCCCTTTCTATCTTGTTAGTGCAGCATTTGCTACCAGAGGCCAACGCTAGCTATACCATTCACCTTACTCCAGGCATATACGCCTAAGTTTTACGCCTTTTTTAAATAGTAGTGTCACCGCCAGCTTCTTCGAACTTCGACTAATTTCACAGAGTACCTGCTAACTTCATCAACATAAATATCAGGTAATTATGTCAATAAAAACTTTCACACGTAAGAAAAAATTACCTAATATTTTTGCCTCCTCTAAGATTTAAATTTGAGACCTAATTTTACGCTTATTGATAAGCATAATTAACCTATAAGTAGCTAGGACATGCATGAACCTAGGGTTTTCGTTGTTTCATATCTTGGTCAACTAGCTATGCTAGAATGATGGTTATTGTATTTTCCTAACCAGTTCTAGTACATTTCAGCTCCTCCAAAACAATTTTCTATAAAAACTAATGGTACGACACATAAATTATAGTACTAAGTATATAACATCACATTCAAGCTCTATTTTTGCTCCCTCTTTCTCCTACCTAGGTCGTCCTCCACTTATCACTTAGATATATATTGTAGTCTAATCCGGATCCTACATAATTTGCTTTGATAAACTGAATTTGTAAAATGTTTCACTTTTAAAAAAAAAACAAGAAGTCATTTACTAGTCTCTTTTTTCAAATTGTTCTACTATTGCTGCTCCAATATTAGTGGAGTAGTTAATTAAGTGCGCTGAAAGAAGAGATAAAGGATAATTTAGACAAATACGTACTCATATGACTGAAGTTACTAATGTAAAATTAAAAATCTTAAAACCAGATAATAGAAATATTAATTTAAGCAAAGCTAATGTAACCTAATCAATGTATATAGTGTCTAGAAATCCCCTCATAATCCACCGTCCAAGAAAAGGATAATGGTGAGTATCAATGCTATTTAATAGAAAGGCACGTGTGTAGGGCAAAGCTTATCGACAATACCAGCAAAGAAGTTGAAAAATGGTTCACTTAGACCAACAATAACGCAGTAACATTATTAATATAGAGTTCTCCAAAGCATACAAAATCCACCCTTATTTAGGTGTATATATATATCTTCGACGTTACTCTTAAGTAATCTAATCAACTTCAAAATCCCAAATTTTCCACTGACCCCTAGCTTTTTTTTTTCTTTTTTTTTTTTGGGAAACTCGATTTTTTGGGTAGTAAATATATACTATAGGTACTGAATTACTGGATGAAAAATCAAAAAATAAAACCGCATATATTATGAGTTATTTTTATTTAAAATTTTCAAGAATATCTTTATTTGCTTCTCTCCATCATCCCCACCTCAATCCTTTTCATTATTTATAAACCAATGGGTGTGTATAAATATATATGGGATCCCATGCATGGGGAATATTTCAACGTTGAATGACAGAGGGTTTTGTCTTCATTTCAGTACAATCTCTGCGGACAATGACTTGGCTGCTGCTTTTTTGCATTCTGCTTTTCTTCTCAGCCTGCTTCCCTAAACATGTTACTAAGTAATTAGTGCTAAGCATATCTTTTACTACAAATTAACGAAGGCCATTTTCTTTGTCAAATAAAAAGGAATTAAAAAAGAATTATTAGAGGTTTGTTTTCACTTTGAAAAAAGTAGATGACACATGGTAAGCGTACAAGGAATAACATAGGGTGTTTAAACAGTGTTCCAGGATATTTTTGCATATCTATATCTTAATTAAAACGAGTCATATGAAGAAGAGTAAGAATCTGAATATTGTAAATAAAAATAATTCCCGTTCATAAGTGATAAAAGTCATTCTTTCCTTCTTTTTACACGAAAATATTTTCCACAATTCAAGGTAAACAAATAGCAGAAACGATTTCTTCTATAAAAATAATTTCTAAGCATATCAATCTCTCAAGCTCACTTTTAGCTGAAAAGGATAAAACAACTATTGAAGAGAAGAGGTAGGACTTAGGAGTGGAGACAGCTCATGGTCAAAAGTAGACTAAATATATAGCTTTGACCTTGATCCTTTGAAATTTAAGAATCTTCTCAAGTATTTAATTCAGCAACTTTATGCAGATATACACCTATGGGTTTGGAATACTTCACCTCTCCATATACAAAGCTGAACTAGGCCTATGGGTATGGTACTTTGTTTAAATTACAGCCTACAGCCTTTCAATAATTATGCAGCCCCTCCAGAATTTTTGTTATCTAGACTTGACATCATTCTACCAGAGAATTATGTGATGGAAATACTGGGAAGAAACCATAAAATTTACTAGATATAGTATTTGTTTATAATTTGGAACTCTGCCAAAAGGGCATGGAACCTCTACCATCTAAGAAAGCACCAAGAACCAATTCATTTCACTTTGCCTCCTAGATAAGATGTGTACATATGATTTCACAACAATGCATTGTGGTACACCATAAAGAAGATATGAAATAAATAAAAAGGGGCCCAATTTTTGCACATTTCTTCCCCTAACAAACAACAAAATAGAGAAAGATGCAAGAAAACTCCAGGATGCAAGAGTGTATTCATAATCATGGAGACAAGATTGCATTCAAAAGGATAGGAGACATGGAAACACAAATATCATCAACCATCCCACCCCCTCACATGCACTTCACATTTCACCAACTATTAAACAAAGATACAATCATGGTAAGACTGCTTTAATGATGCCAGCTTGAGCAGTACAACATAAGTACAAACATTATTACTCAAAAATTGTTTCTAAACTAATTGAGGGAGAATATCTTACTAAATTGAACAAAAAGACACAAGTTGCATCCTGTGTATATCATACATGATTAAGAACTGAGGTTGCGTAAAATTATGGAAGGACATCAGCTGATAAGAAGCCATGATTGTAACAAAACAACTGTCTTCCTCCTTGAGCAATAGTCTCTTATCGCGGCACTGAGAGTCCTAATTCTGGTAATAAAAGAGAAGATCCTGAGTCAGCAATATCCATAAACTTGACCAAGTTAAAATAGCATCAAATTAATCCTTTAACAACCCAATTAACAAGACACTTCTTAGGGAGAACTCCTTTGATGTTTATTAGCCAACAGAGATGTCATTTCATGGACTTTGTTGCTTTGCTTTTTATCCTCATTACAACTTATAGATTGACACGTATAAGACATAAATAGCAACTACATAACTAAGTACCTACCCTGAATTAATTATAACACTTAAAAAAAAGAGCATACATCAACAACTTGAAATTTGATTAGACACCTTGTTTGGTAACTAATGGAGTAGAAGAAAAAGGATATTACTTCTGAAACGTGATGAGGATGAAAAGATAAAGCAGGTGAGCAAATTTTTTTCAACTTCCAAAAGTTGTCGGACATGGTTAACATAGTGATACTCATTGCCTATAACTAAGTCATAAAGAATGATATGTGATTACAAGGAAATTTGACGCTACAAAGCATCTAACTCAACGCCGTAACCAAGCACGGCAATATGGTTGTAATGCTATTCCATGAGACAATTTTTAGATTCTATTGTAAAATATAATATGAAATGCCTAATAGAACAAAAAGAACATCAGGATACACAAATTCATAACGACATTTTCATGTTTACCTATGAATAGATAGCATATGAAGTAGGCTAGAACATTTCAAAAGTAACACACACTACGCTAGAGCAATATAACGAACCATGGTTAAAAACATTTCGGGGTTGTTTGGTTCATGCGATAAAGAAAAATAATCTTGGGATAAAATGTGGGATGATTTAATCTCGTGGGTTGGATTTTTGTTTCCGGTATAAGCAATTCCGGGATTAGTTATACCCCAATTTTGATATTGTTTTCATACCACATTCAATGTGGGATAACAATCCCGGGATTAGCTATCCCGGGATAAAACAACCAAATGACAAAAGTGCCCTTCTCCAAAGCACTTCTCCTAAAAGTCCCTTAAGAAGGTCAAGGTTAAAGTTGGAAATATAAATTTATCCAAGTTTATCAATTGTATATTATACCCCGTATATCCCATTTTTAATTTAGTGAACCAATCTATTAAATAAGTGTGTTCACCAAATAATCTCATTATTATTTAATCCTTGTATTACAATCCCCACATCATAGTCCTGGTACAACTTGTTAGCATACCAAACGACCCCTTCGCGTTGCATCCCATTGAGCCACAAAAAAAATAAGTCATTTTTTGAGAAATTACAATGCAATGGCCATCCAAAGCAGAAACATCGAGAAACATAGGTGATCAAAAGTCTTGAATCATCATAGCAAGATAGGTAGCCATTTTAGATCACCTAAGAATCGAGATACATGAAATGGTTGGGCTAGTAGGTTAATTAAAATTGCATTCAACTGGACATGATTTAAATAAGTTCAAATTAGCTGAAAACAAAAATGAAAAGCAAAGAGAACGCCTAAGGTAGCAGCAGCTTATAATTATGAAGTAGAAGAAAACACCAACTAAATCAGAAGGCTTTTTGTGAGATGAAATATAACGTGTGTTTAACAATTGAATATTGTACTTGATATTTGGAGAATAACTTGAACAGTTCTTAGTTACGCAGTGTCTAGCAGACTAGCACAGCTCAACTAAGACAAAAATGAGGGACATTACATCCATATAGCTTATGACTAGCATGCTTTGCAGATATGCCACTCTCCTTTAATTGCTTACGTTATTGTAAGCTCAGCATCTCTAGGAATTTTCTTTACAAATCTAAAGACTTCTAAATTTCCTTACAAATCTAAGAGTTGTTGGCTTTCAATGTTTTCTGGCGAACTCCAGCTACTCCCTTCTCTTGTTCATCAACACACACGAACAACTTTTTTAGTTACTAATGTATCAATTCGATGCTTCTACAGTTCTACTACAACTACTATTACAACTGAATCTCAAACTAGCTGCATCAACATATGAATGCACTAACCATTTCGATCTATTAAGATCTGTTTCATCACTATATTCAATAATTTGGAGCACTCTAGTACTAATTATTATCAAAAGCTCTTGACTAATTTTTTTTTTAATAAGTATCAATAGCTTGATTAATATACTAAACGTGTTGTGGTGAGAAATACATCAAATGAACCATAGCTGCATCTCTATGATCAGATTCTCAATGGCTCCCAAGAAGGATAATTGCATCCAACACAGAGGGGTCAGAGGCACGGAGACCCAGTATCACTTTTTCTTTTCATACTGGTATGAAGGACCAGAGCAAAATGAGATTCAAATTGAATGGATAAAAGCATCTAGGCCAAGCAAGGGGAGAGTGGCCTCTGTGCAGTTCCAAGCATCACGTATGTAGATGACCTGGAAATGCTTTGTGATGCTGACACCTAAAAATACTACATGATGCTGATGGAGAGTAGTTAATGTGTTTAAAGATGATCTTACTAGTGTTTGATGCCATATGTAGTCAACATCAACTTAACTAAGAGCCAAATATTCCTTGTTAATGCGATTACGGATAGTGAATTACCTAGCTGAGACTCTAGGCTGCTATGTTGGATGCCCTAAAATACTTACTTAGGGCTTCCCCCAGGAGAAAAGTTCAAGGCAACAGAGATCTGGCAAGGGATACTGGAACTATGTGAAAATATGATTTCTAATTAGAAGATAGAGTAGTTCTCACTGGGAAACCGGATACGTTTTTTCCTTTCTGTTTTTTTAACAAGTCTCAGTGACCTGATAGTTTTAATCAATAGAGTTCTAAATGCTTTTCCTACATATATTATGTCTTCGTTTCCCATCCCTGCTAAAGTGGAGAAGAGACTGGTTAATATAAGAAAAGACTTCCTATACAGAGGAAACATGAAGAAGACAGTCTTCCATCTAGTTAACTACATATAAAGGAGAGGAATCCTGCTTTTTAGTCTTCTTTCACTCTTATTCAACCAATTATTCCGACATGGAATTAAAAGAATACCAATTAAGCTGCCATGCACCGAAGAGAGAGATAATAAGAGAAGATGTCATCGAACTTTTTAGAGATTGAAAGCAAGCTCTTGGACTCGAGAGTGAGATCTGCATAGTTGTCCTGACAAAGTTTCAGTGGTTGTACAAGTTGATGCTTTCAAAAGTTAGGCTAGACCCGTAATGGTAAAGCCAAGACAATAGATTTCATTCTTTCAAGATCAAATTTTTTGATCGGTCAGATATAAGTGTATTTGTAGTCTAATGGTTCCAGATTTTACTAGCGATCATTTGAGATCCATTACCATTACTACTTGTCAACGGATGCCCTTGGCCATATGGTGAACTTGGACAAAGAAGATAACTTCAGTCGGAAGGGATCCCATATATTTAATGAGCTGGAGAGGGCATTTAAGTTAACCAAAATGTGGGTTAGCAAGACCCATTTTGTTATTATTATGTTATTTAAAAAAAATACAATAACATACCCAGTATAATCCCACAAGTGGGGTCTGGAGAGGGTAGTGTGTACGCAGACCTTACCCCTACCTGGAGAGGTAGAGAGACTGTTTCCGATAGACCCTCGGCTCAAGATAAGGTGGAAAGGAAGAAAAGGGAAAAAGAAGATTAAAGAGGGGGGAGAAAGAAAGACGAGGGAGACAAAATACGATAAGGAAAAAGAGGCGAAAAAGCAGCATCAAATAATAACAATCAAGGAGCAACAATTTCCAGTAACAATTATCTAAAACAATGGACGAGGTTGCTAAGTACCAGATATAATAACAAACTAAAAGGAATTAACTTTCAACCAACAACAAGAATATTACTAGTACTACTGGTAAACCTAGGAGAAACTCACAACTACCTGTTCAACCCACCACCTTAATCCTCGACCTCCACACTTTCCCCTATTGCTAGCTATTTAAAAAAAATATATCTATAAAAAACAATTTTTTTATTTAAATTTATAACTTAAAGTGAATTGAGCATAAATTAATTTAAAATTAACAATATTGCAATACTAAGCTTATATATATGTTAGCAATAAGGGTAGGGTATTTTAGTCATTTTAACAGAAAAAGTGATGTCTTACCAAACACATCAATTGCTTATTGTCAGTTTTAGCACTTCTATCTAAACACGTATTTGCTTAATCATAAATTTAGTTCCACACTTAAAAGTATTTTTCACCGCTTGGTGCTTAAAAGTAAAGCTACTTAAATTCAGCTAAGCCAAAGTGTGTTATCAAAGGCGAAAAGCGCAAAAAAAACTCAAGGCCTATTGGAGCTTTAAGCGCGAAGCGCAAATAAAGCGTGGACTTTAATGAAGAAAGGTACAAATGGAAAAAAACTACAAATATGTATGTGTAGTCCAAGACTAATATCTATAAGCATGAATACCAAATATATGGACAAAGAAATTAAAGAAAAGTATGTCTTAGAGCCTTGATGACAACGGTGAAGTGCCTGCTAAGCGACGCGAAGTGCTCAACATGTTTTGAGCCTCGCTTCAAAGTTTAAGCAAGCTTCAAGCGCGCCTTTGATAACACAAAGCCAAACAAGCTCTTAGACTCTCAGAGCAGTATTTTTGTAATTACATCAAAGCAAAGCAATTTTATTGGATGAGAAAAGGAATTATTGTAGCTCACTTGAAATTTTCTTATACCACTTTGACCATTATACCCTTATGCTTATGTCATGACCATGTCTTTTCTAAGACCTGTCCCATCAACATATACTTCTTTGTATTGCTTATCGTGTAAAAATGTGTAATTCCCCTCTTTACGCAGCTTTTGCATAGATCTATTAGTAGAATATATGGTTATAATCTAAATGTAGGGAACCTAAAATCTATTTGTAGCCAAAAAAATTCCACAATTAAATGCAATTCATGAGAAATTGAGGAGGAAATTCAAATTGAATTAATTAAATACTTAAATTATATGCAAATAGGAACTAATAAATGACTAAATTTCTAGGTTCAATATTAATATGTTAAATCTAAAATTGAGCTTGAGTATATAAAAATTGATAAGGTAAAGGATAAAATAGCATAGCCCGAACACATTCCTTGTGCTTATGATTCAGCAAATGTATCAGTATGACTTTATCAAATTTTTCAATCTAACATTCCTAAAACACTAATTGGTAAATAATACTCCATTCGTTTCAATTTATGTGAACCTATTTCCTTTTTAGTTCGTGCCAAAAAGAATGACCTCTTTCCATATTTGAAAATAATTTACCTTTATGCAATAATTTATAGCCACACAAAATATATGTACCTCATTTCACACCACAAGTTCAAAAGTCTTCTGTTTTTTCTTAAACTTCGTGCCCAATCAAATAGGTTCACATAAATTGAAACACGTATTTGGACCAGAGAGAATAGATAGTAAGAAGTTAAACGTCCAAAGATAAATTTAATTTCTAAGAATGAATCTTAAAATGATGCTATCACAAAGGGTCAAGTTGTTCCATATATTTTTTCACAAAATAAAATTATTTAATATTAATAAAGAACATAGTGCTTAGCGCGACTAACCTTCAGTAGTTAGTAATATATATAACAGATTTTAGTTGTTAGTTTCAGTATTCCTGTAAATCCCCCATAATCGAAGGATAGTTAAATACCTCAAAAATGATTGAAAGAATTCTGATCCTTCTTCCTACTCATGCTTCATATTTCTCTCTTCTTTTCCTACCAAAAGAAACTCAGTTTCTATTTTCCTGACTTCTTCTTCACGATGTTATATTCCTGCTGATCATGGATCCTTCCTTCATTGTACCTCTAGCTTTTCATTTTATTTTTATATTCTTATAACTGAGAAATCCCCAAGGGCTAATGGCACATAGTTTGAGACTCGCTGGATAGTGACTGATTTTTCATTCTTTTTATTATTCATTTAATCTCACCCTACTTTTTCCTTCTATACCAATCCTCATCCAATCTCGTTCTGTTCTTTGTTATACTGCTTTCTTTGCTTCCCTCGAGCTCCTAACTGTTCCTAGGTTTCTCTTCTGCTCTTCAAACCTTTTAGCAAGAAAAAAAGAACAAAAACATTGGTGGAAGACTAGGTTTCTTTGGGCAATTCTGAAAGCTCTTAGCTGGTCACAGCAAACCAGAAAGTACTCAGATCAATTTCTTAGTCTCAATAATCACAAAAATGTATGGCTTTACGTTTTCATTTTAATAAATTGGTGATACAGAGGACATGACCCTTGATAGGAGGGTGTGGAGGTCGATGATTAGGGTAGAAGGTTAAGGGGTAGCTGAGTGTATTCCTTTGCCATTCTCATGGCAGTAGTATTAGACTTGCATTTTTGTTTGTGGAGTTATGTGTCTACCTGTTATTTCTTTCACTTCAGTTATTTTACAATATCACTGTTGTTATTGCTCATTTTCATTTTTTCCTTCAGCCGAGGGTCTCCGGAATCAGCCTCTCTACCTTCACATGGTAGGGGTAAGGTCTGCGTACATATTACCCTCCCTAAACCTCACTTGTGGGACTATACTGGGTATGTTGGTGGTGTTGGTGGTGGTGATAGTGTTGGTATTAAGTTTGGAAGCAAAACCAAACTTCAGGAAGCATATACCACAAGAAATATGGTCCTGTATAGTCAAAGACAGATTACATAATATTGACTAAAGAAAAAAATGATATCGATAGCTCACACTGGTCGTTGCAACCCACCTAGCTCAGAATTTTACCTAGTTCTAATTTACCGGCAAAAGAAGAAGAAACATAAATTTCCAAAATTAGTACTGAAGGAGTATGACTTGTTAAACAACTTACTCAAAAAGTGATGGATTAGCCTAAAAAAGACACAATGAATTGCCTAATCTCAAATCATTCCACATATAGCCCTTTGGGCAATGCACTCATGCAATGCATTTAACGTGAATGCGCGGATACATTCTATACTTGACAACCATAGACACAAAGGCAAAGGAAGACAAGCTTCACAGCAAATGTTCATAGCATTTATTTTCATCAAGTCACTTAAAAAAAGAAGTAAACTACCTAGGATAAACTTCCCTTGTAGCATAATTTATCAAGACTAAACTATCAGTACATAACAGCAGCTAGACCAGACTACCTAAAACACCTAACCAATACTTAATATGTCTGACACTAGTGGCGAAGCCAGGAATGTGTTCAAGATTTAATATATATGAGCAAAAAAGTAATCTTTGACTTATATATGCAGTATAATTTTCTATATATACAGTACAATATTTGACAAAGGGTATTCAACTGACCACCCTTCCGTCTATGTGGCTCCACAATCGAACACCACCAGGAATGAAAATGAGTTATATGCAAAGATTCAGCCACCAAAGGGTATAATCTTGATACTAAATGAACAAACAGTACAACCATAAGAATATATAAGTGTGATTTGAAAAAGAAAAAAAAAAGTGGTATTGCTTACAGATACAAATTTTAAAATATCAAACTCCTGGGTTGGCACTGCAGAGCATACCCTGAGACAACGATCTGGAGCCCTTGGAATCAATGCCAAGGCAAGATGTGAGTCGAGCTGAAGAGACTGCACTGTGGAGCGGCAACAGAGATTGAAGACAACCCATTTGAGGTAATGGCCTGAAACATCAAAATCAACTGTCAAAATTGAATCTTTATATTCAATAATTGAATTGGGGGTTTTTTAAACTTGCCTCGAGAGTGTTGGAAATGGGCGAGGGAGGTTAAAAGAGGAAGTGGGTATGCTACTGCTTGATTGTTTGTTCATTGTGGATTTGAAAAGGTTAATTGCTGGTCTTGAGAGTGTACGACAGCGAGAGGCCATTGCAGATGAAGCACAATAGCTTTGCACTGATCTGATGTTAGGGTTCGCAAACAACAGAGTTTTAGTGAGGTTTTTGAAAATGTTGTTTGTACCATATGCTGTAGTATATTGTACTACACTACTTTCAACAAATGCCAAATAAGAGAATTCTTGCATTTTGCCCTTTTAATGTGTGCATTATTTTTTTTTCCAATTGTACATTTTACTATATCCTTTTATAATGTGTAGCTAAAATATGCACATCTTCTGATCGATGCCTTGTTATTTAATGGCCAAATACATAGACATGCATTGGAATTTGGCAGCACTTTTCACTTGGACTCTTAAAGTTAGTCTATTTCCTATTAGAAACTAGAACCCATTTTAAACTGTGCCAATTAAACACAAAAGTACTAACCAGCCAAAAGGATATATTGGGTGGATTACATGTGCATGACGTGGAAAAATAGTCCAATTAAAAAAAGCCACGTGGTTTTGACACAAAAAAAATTAAAAAGCTTTCTTGAGAAAAGAAAGATAAAGTAAAACAATACCCCATTCGTCCCCAACCTCCAACGTTCTGATACGAGGTGAAGAGTGTGTAGCTTCTGGAGGTCGTACATTAAGCTTAAAAGATAGGATGCGGTAGTTAATTAGTTATCTTAGAGGTTAGAATTAAGTTTTGAGTTATTCACTTAGGTCCCTTTATAATTATTTTATAGTTATCAGTAAATGCACATTGACCCCAGCAATTGTCCTTGTCTGTTATTTATAGGGTCCGATAGGATGATAAGAATTGTCACATGGGAGCATAGGACAGATGTAGATTCCTTTTTCTTCTTCCCTTTATAAGCATTGTAGTGGAGTCTCTTATACATAATGTATTAGACCCTATCTATTTTTGTTATGTATTTTCCTTTTCTTAGCAGCTTTATCTTTCATTTTCTTTCTTTAATTTACAGTTCCATTGCCGCTCATATCAGTGGTATCAGAGCAGATCTCGGGCTCTGTGGAATTCATGACGACTGAAATAAATAAAGTCATCAATACTTTGCATAAAATCTCCATGGATGTGTCAAACTTTGCTGCTCGGCAGGAACAGCTGGAAGCTGCACAAGAACAAAATAGTAGAAATTAGGAGGAAGCTTTGGGGGAGCTCAAAGAGGTACTTAACGAGGTGATACATGGTGGCAGATGACCTGAAAGAGATAAAAGTTTAGCTTTCATTGACCTAGGACAACATGGAGGTGAGATCTATTCTCCTCATGATAAACCCTTCGACCTAGGTGAGCTTGCAACTCCTAGTTTCTCTGAAAATAGCAGTACTGCTGTAAATGTCTCCCATTTTCCAACTATTTTCTAAGTTAGTTCTCTAGCCCCAAACACTATAGCAACTGGAGCTCTTGCAGCTTCAGTAGCATCACATAGTCACACTCTCATAACTCAATGCTCCCAAGTTCACCCCAACTCCAGTAGAGTGCCAATGGTACCCCAACCTCCTATACAACCCTCCATGTTTTACACCTAAAGATCATAGAATTTCCAATCACCCCACCCTGGAGCTGCAACATTTCAACCACAACCCTTGAATACTCCACATAGCCAAGGTATTAGCTATCTTGACACTCAGTAGCTTAGCCAAGGGTCACCAGTAGGATTGCAGCCCCCCTACACTCCTTTTTACCAAACACAGCCATACCCCACTGCCTATTACACCCAGAACACACATATACCACTACCCTTATACTATCAAATTCCTTATACAACAACCCCTCCTCACTACCAGAACACTCATGTTACCAATCAGCACCAATAGACCACAACCAATCCCAATGTACCCTTACCTAACTTACCATTAAAAAATACAACAAGGTTGAATTTCCAAAATTTAATAGGAAAGACTTGAGGACATGGTTGTATAAGGTAAAAAAAGGTTTTTTATTGATGGGGAAGTTACAATCAAACAAAAGATGAAGTTGGTTTCATTGCACTTTGAGGGTGATGCCCTATAATGGCATCTAGGATACATGAGGAGTAAAAGACACATGCCTCTTTCAACTTGGAAAGAATACTTATGGGCTTTATGTGACAGGTTTGAAGCTGAATACTCAGACCCCATGACAAGACTTATGAATATTAAGCACACAGGTTCAGTCAAAGACTATCAAAAGGCTTTTGTTATTATAATGACTAGGATCAATTTGTCTGTGGAGCATGCTATCAATATCTTTTTGAACAATTTGAAACCCAAGCTTAGCAATGCAGTGAAGATAGGAAATCCTTGTAGCCTTCCCCAAGCTTACTATCTAGCTAGGCTACCTGAAGCCAATTTTGCTGCACAAAACAAGGCTATCAAAGGTGCATATGTAGGGTATGCTTCCTTTAGAGGCTCTCAAGGTCAAGGTTCTGAAGGAATGTCTAGAAGTAACTTGCCTAACTAGAAGAAACCAGTCACTGTAGCTTTTGATAATAATAGAAGAAGGAGACTAACACCAGCATAAATGGATGAGAAAATAGCCAATGGGATGTGCTTCTTTTGCGATGAAAAATATGTGCATGGCCACAAATGTAAGGAAGGCAAATCCATTCTTTGGAGATAGGGGAAGAAGGCTTCACTGCACAGGAAGAACCAGATGAGGAGGAAGAATGCCTTGAGGTTCAAGAGCCTGAAGATGAACCAAATGAGAATTGTGAGATTTCTCTACAAGCCCTGAATGTCTCAAAAGGGTATAGGACACTCAAGATCCAAGGATTCACTGAGCAAAGACCAATCAATGTTCTCATTGATTGTGGTTCCACTCATAATTTTATCAATGAGAAGGCAACTATGAGGATGGGGTGCAAAATTCATCAAATCAGTCCACAAGATGTCTCAGTAGCAGATGGGAGAGTCATTCAATTTGTAAAGGGAAGTAAGGAGCTCAAATGATTAATGCAAGGAACCATGTTTCAGGATGAATTCTTAGTACTTCCTATAAGAAGTTGTGATGTAGTACTCGGTATCCAATGGTTGAGCAAAATGGGAGACATTAAGGTCAATTTCGAGAAGTTGTGGATGCAATTTATGTATCAAGGGAAAACTGTGGCATTGCAAGGGATCCAACCTTCTTTTAAAACTGTAGCTGCCAAGGCACTCCACAAGATATCAGTGGATACTGCTAAGATTTTCATGATCGGAGTTTGCATAGAGAAAAATGGTGAAGCTGACCAACCAGACATAGTTGCAGAAAGGACAGTGGAAATTCAACAGCTGTTAGATGGATACAAGGAGTTGTTTGAGGAGCCTAAACAATTACCTCATTCCAGAGGAGTATTTGACCATATTCCCTTGCTAAAAGGCAGCAACCTTATGAACTCAAGGCCTTACAGTTACTCACCTATACAGAAAGATATGATAGAAAATATGGTGTAGGAAATGTTAAGTCAAGGCATAATTCAGTATAGTTCTAGATCATATGCATCGCCTGTGGTTCTGGTGGGGGGAAAAGATGGCTCTTGGAGATTGTGTGTGGATTATAGAGCTCTAAACAAGGTCATTGTGAAGGATAAATTCCCAATACCCATCATTGAGGAGTTATTGGAGGAATTAGGGGGCTCACAAGTCTATTCCAAGATAGATTTAAGAGCTGGTTATCACTATATTAGAATGTATCCCTCAGATGTCCACAAAATTGCATTTAAAACTCACTCAGGACACTATGAGTACCAAGTGATGCCCTTTAGCCTAACCAATGCTCCTTCCAGCTTTCAAGGGTTAATGAATCACATTTTCCAAGAGTATCTATGGAAATTTATCCAAGTATTCTTTGATGACATTTTGGTGTTTAGCAGGAGCATGGAAGAACATCTACAACACCTTAGAGTTACCTTTGATCTGTTGGTTAAACATCAGCTATTTGCTAAAGAGAGCAAGTGTCTTTGCAGCTAATAGGGTGGAATACCTGGGCCACTATATCTTTGCTAAAGGTGTGGCCACAGACCCAAAGAAGATAGAAGTTATTCAGATATGGCATGTGCCCATCAATATCAAACAGTTAAGAGGGTTCCTAGGCTTGGCTGGGTACTATAGAAGGTTCATAAAAGGGTATGGATCAATCAGTAAGTCATTCACTAAGCTGTTGAAGAAGGACAACTTTATATGGACTGATCAAACCACTAAGGCATTTAACAGATTGAAGGAAGCCCTGACCTCAGCACCAGTACTGGTGCTTCCTGACTTCTCAATACCATTTGAAATAGAGACTGATGCATGTAGCATGGACACTGGAGTTGTATTAATGCAAAAGGGGCCGCATGTTGCATATCTGAGTAAAGGGTTATCCCCCAAGCATCAATCATTATCAATATATGACAAAGAGTTATTGGCATTGGTCATGGCAGTCACTAAATGGAATCAGTACCTGATGGGCAAAACATTCACAGTGAAAACAGACCAAAAGGCATTAAAGTTCCTTCTTGAACAAAAGCTACACACAGGTTCACAATTAAAGTGGATCACTAAGTTGATGCAATATGACTTCACCATTGAGTACAAAAGGGGAAAGAGAACAAGGCAACAGATGGATTGTCCAGATTACCTTTGGTGGAACTAACTGCTCTAACTCTGTCCATAATCAAGACAGACTTATTGAGCCAAATTATGCCGAGTTGGTCACTAGATGATGAACTCACTAGCTTAATCCAAGAACTAAAAGAAAAGAAATCCGAGATGAAGGGGTACTCATTTGTACATGAAAAATCGAGGAAGAATGGGAAGCTGGTAATAGGACATGATGGGCAGTTGAGGAAAGAGATCATCAGATTGTGGCATGACTCTGCCAGAGAAGGACACTCGGGCATTGACCACACTTACAGAAGAATTGCTGCTCTCTTTTATTTGAGATGTTTAAAGGAGGATGTTCAAACATATGTCAAAGAGTGTAGAGTGTTTCAAAGGCACAAGCATGAGACAGTACCTTACCCAGGCTTACTGCAACCACTCAAGTTGCCTTCTATAACAAGGAGTAGCATAAGTATGGACTTCATTGAGGGGTTACCAAAATCAAAAGGAAAGTCATTTATTTGGGTAGTGGTGTATATGCTGACTAAATATGCTCATTTCATAGGGCTCTCAAATTCTTACTCAGCTAAAGATCTTGCAAAGATATT